GCATATTTGGTTGTATAAACCTTGATATTGTCAATAAAAATGTAAGAGTACTGTCAAAACATAATTTGTAGTAGTATTTCGATATTTTGCTTTCAAAGTACTCTTTGTAAAAATTGGTAATTTGGTAATTCCATGAAAACAAAAAGGTTAACTAAGTTCTCACGAAACGATTAAGTCAATCAATGTTCTTTTATACTAAAAATCTAGGAATGTAGAAAGTATTTAATCGCATAGCTAAGATTCTTAACTGATGATATTGCAGCTACTCTATACGGACTACATGCCCCGACTAACATTCAATTATACAAGCATTATCTAGTAAACAGATAGTACCTAATTAATAAGTATCTAATTAAAATAGAAATTAATAATGTTATATCTAAATATTATTAATTAACAAATACGTACATTCCTAACATACCAAAATCATTAAATAATTTCGTCTCCCAATGAAATATTTGTTATTCTGCTTAGGTATATAAAAAATATATATTTAGTAACAATTGGTTAAATAAAAGCAAATACAATTCAGGAAAGTCAAATAAAACTTTCAGAATAAATAAAATTTTTGAAACAATGTCAAAAGTGCCGACAATATAACTAGGTTAATATCGTTTCAAAATTCAGTTTTTTTTGTGTTTTGTATATAATTTTTGTTTTAATTAATTCCATTTAAAGGGAAACCACTTGAAAATCAATCCTCTTTTTTTATGTATTGGTAGCACTGTCAATTTTTAGGCAGCTGCCACACTTTGTGTTAACCGAACGAATAAGTAAGGCTTACCTCGGTGTTTTTAACGAGGTTTTAAGTGACGAAATGACAGATTAAAGATATCAGCCATGAGTTTATCAATGATACAAATGCTACAATACAATGCTACAATGATACAAGGCCAAGAGGACACCGAAAATGAGGCGAGATCTGGTCAAATGTGAAGATCCTTCTTACCGTTTTCTTCGACTACATAATTAATTTTTACTAATTTTATCATTATTTCAAAATTTTATTTATTACAATCATTAATTTAATGAACTAATTAAAATTTATATAAATAATAATTGTTCATCACGAAGTTTTACTACCCGGTCGTATAGTTAATATGTCGTACCTTCAAGTTTTGCATAATTAGGAGAAATCAATACACAAAACCGTTGTGATGCCGCAACCACCATATTCTCCGGGCATGACCCCTGTGACTTTTTCTTATTTCCCAAACAAAAAAAATACTCAAAGAACATCGGTTTTTTACAATGTATGAGATAAGGGCAAGATCGCAAACCATGCTCAAGACGATATCCGAAGAGGCGTTCCATGAGTGTTTCTCAGACTGATGGATACTACGTTGGCATAAATGTATAATATAAGAGGGGGCTACTTTCAAGGGGGTGGGATAAAAATTAAATATTTAATAGATACTTTCTGAGAAAATTTACAATTCCCATTGTTTTTATTAAACCTCATACCCATAAGAATTTATTATTTCTTTAAAGTTCTTACATAATTTAATTATAGCATGTTACTTACTTTTTTAATGATAATATTTAGTATTTATTAGATATTGTTGGTATAATTTGGTATTTACTAGATATTGTGGGTGTAATTTAAGGCTAGTAGGGATATGTACCCTGTAGAGTAGTTCTTTAACGTAATATCATCAGTTGTTGTAGCTGTGATCCCCAATAGCATCATTTGAAAATCTTACCTATGTGGCCAGACATTTTTTGCATACTAAAAAACCTAGATTTTTGTATTGTTGGACTCTATAGGATTTTTAGAAAAATTTTTGAATTTATTTAAATTAGCTAAAAAATGAAAATAGAGAAAGAGTACCTACAAGAGTAAAATGAAATAAATATATATTTTTGAAAAGCAAAAAAACACGTTTACGTAATTTCTAAAGTACTTGGTGGCGTTGAATTTATGAGATTTTAGTGAGGTGATGTGCCAGTATTTCCGTCACTGGTTAACATGGTTATATATAAATTAACTGTACTTTTACCTTCATTTAGTAAAGGCGTCAGTCCAAGTATTTGTGATACTTGATTATAAAGGCCCCAAGCAATAACTCGGTTACCCATTATTGGACACCTACATTTTTGTCACATTAGTGGGATTGGATAAATTTTTTTGCACGTTTTGCTTGATTTTTTTATTTTCTTTTCAACCATATAAAATTTGTATGCCTTTGCATAACGAAATTTTTGAGAAAAAATGAGAAACCTTTCAGCAGCCTTTCACTTTAGTTTAGCTCGCTTTCTTAATCATATCAAAACAATTTTGCATACTGCTATCTGTCACATATCGGTTTGTTTGTAATTGTTATCACCTTTCAAGTTTTACTTATAACAAAATGAATTATTTTAATGAAGAAGTTGATATGTTGCAAGTTTATTATGAATGTAGAAAAACAGTGTTGCAGCTTTACAATTACATCGATAACATTATCTTAATATAATTTCCCCTAACAGAAGAAAGTTTAGTAAACAGGAAGCAAATCTAAGACAGTATGCTAAAGAAGAAGAGTTTCTTTAAGATATACTTGCAATGAAAATCAAGAATTAGATTTACTCTTAAGTGTGCAAGTAAATCCGAATACTTCCAACGGGAATTAGCCAGGAATCATAATTTAACTGAGTACGTTGTGTATAAAATTCTACATAAACATAAATTGTTTCCTTACAAGGTGAATTTAGTTTAACATCTTCATGAAAATGACTGAACAGTTTTGTACTTAAATAATGCAAATAATAATCCCAGCCTCCCGAAATTGATTCTATGAACAGATGAAAGTAATTTTTCTAACAATGGCATGTTTAACCTCAATATATTACTCCATTGGAGTGATGATAATCCTAGAATTAAAAGAGAAAGAAATTTTCAAAATCGATTTTATATTAATGTGTGGTGTGGTATGCTAGGTTCAAAAATATTATTAGTGGATCTTTCTTTAGGGTTTCGTAAAAAACAAAGTTTAACTAATTAACATCGCCGAATAAAATTGATCAGTTGAAAGACTGAATTAGTTCCGAAATAAATAATACTTAACGTTAAATTAAAGTGTAATTCGAAGATGCGAATTATCACAGCCACACAAAAAAAAGAAAAGTAGTCTGTACTTTTCATGCGACGTATGTTATCTGTAGTATTTTTGCCTCCTGATCACGAATCCGGTGTCAAAATTGAAGTATCACATCACAGGAATTTCCTAACCTCAAAAAACAGGTAAAAAATAGCAAAAATTCATGAAAAAGTACTAGGAAAAATATTTTTTTTTTATTCAAATGTTCATCTATATAGTTAAGACCCCGCCCAACGTGAATCCTTGGTCAGCATTAATGGTTCTTTTTCTAACCTCAAAAAAACGGTCCAATTAAAGTCAGATATCACGAATTTTCAAACAATAACAGTTTCGCGCCAAATTTGGTATACGGGGGTTTTCTGGGTCGATGATTACGGATCCGAGGTCAATTTTGCAAAATTCAAGATGGCGGATCCAAGATGGCCGATCAAATTTTCAAAAAATAACAGAATCTCAGCAAATTTGGTATACGGGGGTTTTTGGGGTAGCTAATTACCGGGGGTATTACCGGGGTATTCGTGGTCAGAATTGCGAAACTCATTTCGCAATATTTTACTTTATAATCTGAGTACCCAATCATGTGTTAATCTACTTTTTTTCGGCTATATCTTTTCTTTTTCTGTAAAAGATCTATTCACGGGTTAAATTTTGTAAATTTGATCTCGGATTCGTGATCAGTGACCTCGAAAACCCCCGTATACCAAATTTGGCGGCAATGTGTTATTTTTTGAAAATTTGGTCGGCCGCCATCTTGAATTTTGCAAAATTGACCTCGAATTCGTGATCAGCGACCCCGAAAACCCCTTATACTAAATTTGATGCGAATCTGTTATTTTTTGAAAATTTGGTCGGCCATCTTGGATCCGCCATCTTGAATTTTGCAAAATTGACTTCGGATTCGTGATTAGCGACCCCGAATATCCTCGTACACCAAATTAAGCCCGAATTTGTTATTTTTTGAAAAGTCGTGACATCTGACCTTAATTGACCCGTTTTTTTGAGGTTAGAGAAGGAACCATCAATTCTGACCGCTAATTCAGGTTCGGCGGGGTCTTAACTATATATATGAACATTTGGATATAGAAAAAAAATTTTTTTCTAGTTTTCCTAGCACTTTTTCGTGAATTTTTGCTATTTTTGACCTGTTTTTTGAGGTTAGGAAATTCCTGTCTTGTGATAGCTCAATTCTGACACCGTATTCGTGATCAGGAGGCAAAAATACTATAGATAACATGTGTGGCTGTGTTATCGAAAGAAATGGACAACAGATTGAACAGTACTTTAAATTTTACTATTCATTTTACATTTTTTGTTTGCATTTAATATTTTATTGTACAATTTTTTGTTTATTAATATTACTAAGTTATTGTTACATACATATTTTTCCTATACCTTAACCGTCTTAGATTTGTTTCAAGTTTACTAAACTTTCTTTTGTTAGAAAAAATTCTATTAAGATAACGTTGTCGATATAAATGTAAAGTTGCTACACTGTTTTTTCTACATTCATAACAAACCTGCTGTATATCAACTAATTCATTAAAATCATTCATTTTGTAAGTTGAAAGATGATAGCAATTACAAACAAACCGATATATGGCAGATAGTAATATGTAAAATTATTTTTGCAGCACCTTCTATTTGATATGATTTAGAAAGTGAGCACTGTAAACTAAAGTCAAAGGCTGTTTTCTCAATTTTTCTCAAAAATTTCGTTTCGCAAAGGCATACAAATTTCATATGTTTTGAAAGAGAATAAAAAACTATCAAAACATGCAAAAAAATATCGATGACGTCACCACTCATGTACAGTGTGGCGAAAAATAAAACAAACAGCTTTAGACTAATATATGTATATCTAAGTCAATTATTATATCGTTTAAATTGTATAAATACTAACAACGATCTCGTTTGTTTTAGAGCCCTCCACATGAAAGAACACCCAGACTACAAATACCGTCCAAGACGAAAGCCGAAGCCACTTTTAAAAAAGGAACCGAAATTCGGCTTTTCCATATCTCCCCTTCTCTCCCCTACACACCTGGAAAACCCGAACATCCCTCGCAGCCTAGTACCCCCCATATCGACAGCCTCTGGTCTCCCCCATCTACTAAACCACGACTCGGAGCACCTCAAGTTGCCAAGGACACTGTTTCCACCCTTACCCTATCTGTACCACCCCTTCAGGCACCCAGACGAGACGAAGTTCGCGGCGGAACTAGCGCTGCTGTACAGCAACAGCCCCCTGTACCCCCCGAGCATCAACTGGCCCATCGGTAACCTTTCCAACGGCATGAACAACGTCCCCTGCAACATCTGTCCTCCGGCGTTCCCCAGGAGGTCGCCCAGTCCCGAGACCATGAAGAGGCCCGTCTGCGTCATCATGAAGAACGACGAATTTCGAAACGAGCCGGTTCCGGCGCACGTTATATGAAAACCACTTCCGGTTCTGCCGGAGCGGTTGAACCTGGGGACTTGGTTTAGTGATATAGCCAATTTGGCGACTAGTTCTAGCGCCGCCGTCGCGACGTCCACCGCCATGGATTACAGGGACAGCGCGTCCGGGAGGGACAGCAACAGTCCCTGCGACATGAGCGACAAAAGTAGGAATTTCCAGAATAACTGAAAGTATTGTGAATAGTTCTTTTTCCGGAAAATGTGAATATTACTCTCTGTTCGATTGTTTTTTGTGTTGAAGCTAGATCTGAGACGGATTTTTGTTACTGTATGTAAACGTCACATTTTTATTGTACGGGGTGTTTGACTCACATATTTTTTAAATTTTAACAAAAGTGGAAATCATCTTCAAAGTTATTGGTAGACGTAAACCGATAAAAAATCTTACAGAAACTGCAGTGGCGAACGAATTTACTTGTGAGAAATAAAATTCTTTAAATACAATCAAATTGTATATTTGTATTCGGCAAATTAAAGATTTTTTGAAGTTAATAATGCAATAACGTTAATCTGAATGAACATGTCTCGGAAAATACTATATTTAGTTGAAAAAAATAATTTAAAGAGCTAAAAGGAGTTAATAAATAATAATATTAAATATTGTTTTTATTTCTTTTTTATTAATTGTCTATAAATATATACAGTATGTCTACAGAAACGGTGTCGAATCGGAGAAACTTTCTTATTTTTCATTTTATCGAAAAAAGTTACTCTTGATAAACAATTTTACTGGTTCTTAAAGTAAAATTGGGATAGAAAAATTTAACATTTCTTATACTATTTGTGAAGATGTGGAAATAAGTTACTAGGAAAAGTCGTTCAAAAGTAAAAGACAATCTCTAATACCAATTTCCGACAAAATAGGTCTACTTTTATTTATTTGTGATCATTAAATTTGTTTAATTTTCAACAAGATGGATGCCCAGCACATTATTCGGCAAGTGTAAGACAATGGTTAGACCATACATTTCCAGACCAATGAATTGGGAAACAAGGACCAGTTCAGTGGCCGCCTAATAGTCCAGATTTTTTCCTATGAGGTCGACTGAAACAAACTGTTTATCGCACAACTCTAATAGATTCCAATTTTGATCAATTAAAGGATGCGATTAGAGATGCCGTTGTTTCAATATCTTTAGATGAGGTTAGAAGTTTTGATGAATTACTTGTCCGTTTAAAAACATATACTAAATAATTATAGTGGCAGTGTATCTGAGGAAATAAACTTTTAAAATTTGTGAATTGTTAATTTGAATAATTTAATTTGTATAAAATAAATTTAATGATTACAAATAAATAAAAGTAGGTCATTTTTTTCGAAAATTGGTATTAGAGATTGCCTTTCACTTTTGAATAACTTTTCCAAGTAACTTATTTCGATAACTTCACAAATAAGTGCACTTTACTCTTGTACCATTCAAAGTTTTTTCAATTTTTTGAACACCCGGTACAAGAAATGTTAAATTGTTCTATTCCAATCTTACTTTAAGAACCAGCAAAATTTTTTATCAAGAGTAACTTTTTTCGATAAAATGAAAAGTAGGAAAGTTTTTCCTATTCAACACCTTTTCAGTAGACATACTGTATACACATGGATAGGTATAGATAATTTATAAAAAAAATATTCATTATATTCAGATGGGTACATATATTTTAATAAGAAAAAAGAAATACATAACATATAAACATATTCTTAAAACTTTTTGTCAGTAAAATGTCAGTAAAATAAAATTTGTATTCGTTGTGTTGGAAATTCTCACCTCCCATAATAAGTTAATATGATAAATTAATAATAAATTTTAATACTGTTTTGGGTTAGTTCTGTTATTTCTATTGTAAAATGTTTACATATAACGAGTACAAAATTTATATTTTTGAATACCTAATATCACCATAATAATACGTATTCACACCTCACACTATGTATGCACAGTAATGGCTGATTCTGTTCTACTCCACATGCGCCGTAAATTCTTCGCTATTGTAAATAGTGTAGTAATATTTGATTTTAAAAACCAATTTTTTTTATCATTAGTATTACAATCTTAATATTAAATACAACTTTGGACAAGCACTAATATTTTCCAAAAAAAATTTTTTATGATATACATATAATTATTTAATTCTGAAAAACAAATATTTTGAAAATGAAAAAAATCAATTATTAAATTTTCAATGTTATATCAATTCGTGACATAAAAAACTAAGGCTCCCGATTAATCCTAAGTAAGATTTTTTCCTCAGTGTAATGAACATGGCATAAAAATAATTATGGCATAAAGTATTCAAACACCTTGTATATAAAACAGAAATATCGCAATATTTACAAAGTAGTTTCAGTGTATATATTTTAAACATTTTTTAAAAAATATGTACAGGATGGTTCTATATATTTTGATCCTTACCTCATTTTTTTTAAATAAAGTAGTCTTGAGTACTGTAAATCCTATAGTAGATTACTTTGGTGTAACAAGAAATAAAGTAAAACTAGTAACACACAGAAAAATGCAACTTGAATGGAACATTATGTCCAATTCACCACACAAAGATATTGTGATACTGTTTAATTTCTAAAATTCAAAACATATAGGGTCATCCTGTACCTAGTGGTCTCTCATTCGAAAACAAAATAATGGATCACTGTGTTATTGTTTAGAAACATAATATGTTTTGTAGATATTTTTTTTTATATTTGTACATATGTAGGTATAATACAGAAAGTATTACATAAATTTATTTAAGAGAGACTTCGCGAGATGTGAAGACAGTTATAATGAAACATGTTCTACAAATTATTGTATTTGTAAACTAGCTCACGGCACTAATGTTACCATTTTAAGAGAAAGGGGAGGTGCAATTTTAATTATGAAGCAGTCAATTTGCACTTTTGTTGTTAAAATTCCTGAGGATGTATCTTAACTTTGGTTTATTATAATTGTAAAATATATTGTTATGTTTATACGTTAGTAAGTGTGTACGAAAACAAATTTGTTATTCTTTTGTTTTATTGATAGAAGGCAGTTTGTAGAGTTAATGTAAAATTGTTAATTAGAAACAATAAAAATATTTTCTCTTTTTCATTGTCTTCTCGTCTTAATGTAAAATAAAATAATTAATATTTTTATGGTTGTACCTATTCTTAAAAAAGTAAATATTCTATAAAGAGTGTAATTAAAATGCTTGGTCAAATTTTAATTCCAGATTTTGTTACAAATCAAAAGTTTCTATAAATATGTATTTGGAAGTTTTAGATGCGAGTTGTCATAACTATAAAATTCTTGTATTTTTTAAATGACAAGAAAATAGTTAAAGCAATTTCATTAAAATTTGATACGCAGTTTTTGTTTGTCCATTCATACGGGAACATATCTCGTTCATAAAATAGATACCTAAATTGCAAAATATCGCTATTTCTAAATTTTGTATAATAATTAGAATAAATAGAATCCAAAAGTTCATACATGAAGGTGGCAGACATTTTGAACTTTTATTTTTACTGACTATGTTTTTAGTGTCATGTTTATTTAATTTTCCAATATTGGAACTTCAATAAATTAAAACTCTTCTCAATGTCTATATTTCAAAATGCACCATTTTTTTTAAGAATGTCGAGCTTTAAACATAATGCAAACAAATATGTTCCGATCACATAACCAAGAGGTTGCAATACTTCAAAAAATAGGCCTTAAAACTTAAAGAAAAGAATGCTTTGTATAAACTTGAACCACAAGCGTGCGCTGTAAAAAGTTGCGATAGTAAATGGCTGGTGCGACCTTTTTCGTCTACTCCTGCTTCAATTTTTTTAATAAAATTAATTAATAGGCAACAGAATTATTAATGAAAATATGTTTTAATTTAAGTTTGACACATTGTATCTAAACACAAAAAGGTAAGTATAAAAAAAGTTCTATTATTTTCGTTCAAAGAATCTATGGTTAACGACTTTATCTACTCTTTGTAACACCCTGTATATAATAATTTATTATACTTGGTTTTCCGCAAAGTTTTTTCAACTTGAAATAAATGTTGAGAATCAGGCACTTTCATCACATATGTATTTATACAAATTTTATTACTTTGTGACTGCGTGATAAAAAAGATTAGAAGGAAGGGTTGGGAGCGAAAGAAAGGGGAGTAGAATATTATGTAAATGACCCTGTACACGAAAGAAAAAACCACATAATGTCAAATGTATTACCACATTATATAATTTTAAGTAAATTGTAAATATTACAAACACAATTCAATCACAAACTAATATTACAAAAGCATGATGTAAAATTGCATTGCCAGAAGAAAGTGTGTTTTCAGTGAGATTTTAAAAAATATATGTTCTAGCTATACAGGGTGTAACTAAATAAGTGTAAAACATTTATGGGGGTGATTCCTCATCGAAAAATAGATAGGATCTTTCATATAAAGAAACTTCATTGGAGCATCCCTTGTTAAGATACAGCCCCTTAAAGGGGGTACATAAAATTTGTTTAACAATTTTTTTCACAAGCACTAAACAAGTTACAATATTGAAATTAACATTTTCTACTACCAAAAAGACACTTAGCCAGTAATTTATTTGGTTTACCCCATGGTTGTAAGGGGTGGAAAACGCAACCCCTAAAATTTATTTCCAACGCGTAACTTTTTGTCTTATTATTTGTTTACCATTTAAAAATTTATTTCCGATAGCCTGTTTCATTCTAAAAAAATGTCTCTTGAATTTTTTGCCCAAAATAAACCAGTTCGCAGCAAAAAAATTTTTTTACGAACAACTACAGAGATACATCGTCATAAATGCGAACTGGATTTACTGTTATTTTGTAGTTACTACCTGCATTAAATGATTAAAGGGGAATAATCAAAACTAATTTATTAATAACAAAACATACAACATGTAGAAAAACTAAAAAATAAATTGTCAGTATCGCTAATAGCGGCCTACTAGATAAATTAGTTTCGTATTTTCGTTTAATGGCGATA